AAACGTTCGGTTCATCACCGCCTACTGCCCCCGGCAATGTACCGTTAGCAATGGTACAGCACATCCGTTCAAGAACGACCTTGCCATCATAACCCGCACCAATGCCCGCTTCGTAATCGGAGGGGACCTGAACGCCCGGCCGCCTGCTATTCGACCATTAACAGCATGGTCTCTATTCCGTCTGGTTTCCGGACGAACCAACCTTCACATCACCGGCGGGCAACCCATCGACGCTGGACTTGTTCTTAGCAAACACTGGATTAGCCAAGCCGGTTGAGTTCGGACCACCAACCGGTGCTGACCGAGCTGGGCTGCAACGTGGCCCCTGCACCGTGCCTGCGGAAGGACTACCATCGAGTCAACTGGGTCCAGTTTCGGCGCGTGGTCGACCGCCACATCGTTGACAACCCACCGCTCGACACAGTGGAGGACATCGACCGGGCCCTGGAGGGTCTCCATCAAGCCATATCCGTGGCTGACGAAGAGTGCGTTCGACGAGTTCCTGTGAGGGGTAAGTTTCAAGCAATTGATTCTCACACCAAACTCTTGATTCGGCTCAGAAATGTTCGTAGACGCCAGTTCCAGCGGACTGGGGATCTGCAGCGTAAATACGAAATGGTCGATCTGAATCGGCAGATCGCTTCCAGAATGGTCTCAATCCGGAACGAGAGTTTCGGGCGGCTCGTTCAGAACCTGGACAACCGTTCCAGACCATTCTGGAAGGTTGCCAAGGTGCTGAAGTCTCACCCCAAGCCCATTCCACCTCTTAGAGTCAATGACGAACGGCTTATCACCAACGAAGAGAAAGCCAATGCGATTGGGGAGCACATTGCCCAGTCGCATTTGCTTGGCTCCAAAATCCCAAGTCCACTTGAGAACCAGGTTGCGCAGTGCGTCCAGACGTTAGATGCCTCCCCTTGTGCCGTCCCTCCAGAAGAACGGATTACAGAGGAACAAATTTGCTCAGCGCTGAAATATAGTAAAAACATGAAGGCTCCCGGGTTTGATGGAATATTCAACCTAGAGTTGAAAAATCTCAGCGCGAGGGTGCACTCGCTGCTGGCTGCCATCCTCAACAGGTGCCTGGAGCTGCACTACTTTCCAAGCATCTGGAAGGTGGCAAAAATCATCCCGATCCGCAAACCTGGGAAACACCCTTCACTACCGTCAAGCTACAGACCGATTAGCCTGCTCTCAGCGCTGAGCAAGCGGTTCGAAAAATTGATCCTCAGCCGACTAAACAAGTTTGTGGAGGTACATGACATTCTTCTTCCGGAACACTTCGGGTTCCGCAAGGGGCATTCCACCAATCATCAACTAGTGCGGGTGATGAATAACATCCGAAGTAACAAAGCTGTATCCAAGTCCACAGCCATGGCTTTGTTAGACGTCGAAAAGGCGTTTGACAATGTCTGGCACGACGGACTTATATACAAGCTTTGTAACTCTAACTTTCCACCATACCTTGTGAAAATCACCCGTAACTACCTCCAGCAAAGGTCGTTCAGGGTGTCGTTGAATAGTTCCCTTTCGGGACAATTTCCGATCCCAGCAGGTATTCCGCAAGGGAGTCTGCTGGGACCACTGCTTTACAGCATCTACACGTCGGACATCCCTCCTCTAGGAGACGGTTGCGTGTTCTTCCTGTTCGCAGATGACACCGCGATAGCCGTCAAGGGTAGGATGCCTCGTGAAATTACGAACAAGCTCCAACGATGCCTGGACACCTTTACTGATTATGCCACCACGTGGAAAATCAAAATCAACGCCTCGAAAACCCAAGCGATCATGTTCCTTCACAGACAATCGCCAAAACTCAAACCGTCTCCCTCCTGTACCGTAATAATGGATGGTACAAGTACAGACAAACAGACATAACACATTGAATAATTCTCACTGTAAAACATCGTCGCTAAAACATTACCGCCATCTGTTGAGTGCACTGTGGTGGGTAGTACGCTGAACAGATGGTGGTAGTGTGTAAACGTCAAACGCAAGGGAATTGACTATGTGCGCCACATGTGGCGGTACTACCAACTATGATACTTTTAAATTGTCCGTTAAATGCTTGTTCTATAAACAACTTGCGAGTGTTATGTCTGTTTGTCTGTGGTACAAGGGTCGAGTGGTCCACTGATGTTACTTATCTCGGGATGTTGTTCGATGAGAAGCTCCTGTTCCGCTCGCACATAGAGAAAACCCTAGTTAAGTGCTCCGCCTTGCTTAGGTGTTTGTATCCGCTCATTTGCCGCAGATCCCGCCTCTCAAGGCAAAACAAACTTGAAATTAAATCAAGGGGCTTGGAACTACACTGTTGAGATCATTAAAGCCTATCACGCTTTTCGGACTGAGTTAGGAAAAGGTGGTGATTTGATAGTAAGAGGTAGTAAAATAATCGTACCGCTGAGTTTGAGAAAGCGTATGTTGCAGTTAGGACATGAAAGTCACCCGGGTAAAACCTAAATGCAACAGCGATTGAGGCACACTTGTTGGTGGTCTGGAATGGATGACGCCATAACTCGAGTCGTAGATGCTTGTGAAGGTTGTCGTCTGGTGAGCCAGCCAGAGCGCCCAGAGCCTATACAGAGACGGAAGTTACCGGAGGCCCCGTGGCCATTGATTTTCTGGGACTTCTGCCCTCCGGAGACTATCTTCTTGTTGTCATCGATTTTATGTTTTAGTAGGTACAAGGAGGTTGAGGTTCTCAGAAGAATTACGGCACAAGAAACAGTGGAGTGGTTGGACACAATCTTTGTAAGACTTGATTATCCAAAACCAATAACCCTGGATAATGGACGACAATTCGTCAGTCGTGAATTTGAGTAGTTCTGCAATCATCGTGGAATTGTTATAAACCGGTCTCAAGAGAACGGACTGGTGGAACGTCAAAACCGGTCACTGACGAAAAGGTTGAAGATAAGTCAAGCTATATGTAGAGATTGGTGGAAAGATCTTAACGACTACCTGACAATGTACTATTCTACGCCACATTGTACCACGGGAAAAAACTCCCTCTAAATTGATGATTGGACAAAGCTGCCTTCGTTTAGTGAACTGACGTTTTCGGTACCAATGACAGACTATAGAGTTCTCTACCGCCGTTAGTATTAGTGAGCAGTTCCACTAATACATGCGTTAATAAAAAAAAACAAACCGCTGTCAAGTCGAACTCTTTGACAGCTGATTTCGTGGTTGAAAATAATAAACAAATCGATTTTACACGGCTACACTAGCTAGGTTGTATTAGTGAGATCTTGCGTCAAGAAGTCAATAGGGACAAAGATCAACAAGCCAAAGACAAAGGCAAAGTACGTCGACGGGCAAAAGTATCAAATTTGGAGATCAGTGACAAAGTCGTAATGAAAAGTGTATTAACTGGTAACAAGCGCACTCTCACGTTTGCTCCAAACAGGATGACAGTTACGACAAAGCTTGGCTCACGGGTAACGGTACAAAAGGATGAGACACTCAAGCAATATGATAGGAACACGAGGCATTTGAAAAAAAAAGGTAGTTCACCCGTTGAAGAACAGGATGAAACGTGATCCGATCAGCCGGTATCATTCGAAGTGGGTACCCAACAAACTGAGGACACACTAGAGTCAACGGTCAGATATCCAAGAAGATCCATGAGAGCTCAGCAAAAGTGACATTTGATTGCTGAGTCTCGGATAACGCTTAGCTGAATCTCAGCAAACAAATTAAATGTTTTTTGCCGAGGTTTGCACAGCCGAGCTCGGTAGAAAAAACTTAGTGTGTGTGATACACTTTAGCGACACCAAAAAGCAGCAATATATGCTTTTTGCTCCCGAACGATTTTATAATTGCTTTTATAATGATAAAACACCTTTATGGAGTATTTTGCCATGACATCAACAAAAATAAAAGAAAAAATAAAAAGCGGGCCGGTTTATGATTGACTAACTGAACAGCTTTATTCAGTGATAGAGTGCTGCATTAAATTCATTTTTTAAACCAGACCCGTTTTGACTTTATCGTCAGACTTTAAAATGTTTTTATAACAGCAAAATGCTGAACTTCTTATCAAGAATGCGGTGCACTATTAAATGCTGTATTTAAACTAAAAAGATTTCTTATTGCCGTTATAAAACCACAATATATCAGTGTGAAAGCCCAAAGGCTGTTAAATTGATACTTCGACAGTGAGCATTCATAAGGGCGAATACGCGATGATCGATTCTCTTCATCGATTTTCTCTTTGCATTGCTACAGCTAAGCGAAACAATTTTCAAGAATTTGTTCAATGCAGAGTAGTAACAGGTTGTATTGGCTATCAAAAGCAACAGCAAATGCACCGAGAAACGTTAAATCTAGCGAGTTATTAACAAAAGAGAAAATCGACGAAGAGAATCGATCATCGCGTATAGGCCCTTATGCATGCTCACTGTCGACTTTAAAATTGAAAATTTAAGACGATCTCACCAACTTTCACTGTTCCTTCACCCTTCTGTCCAAGTTTCGTGTCTATAACTCGTTGCCTTTTCTGCATCACTGCTAGTCATTACTAGTCTCCAGAAAGTCTCCCATGTTATTTCTGTTGTTTTCTACGAAATTTCGCACTTGTGCACTTGTCACACAATAATACTAATGCAAAAATGGTACAGGCTTAGAAAGCTCTCAATTAATAACAGTGGAAGTGCTCAAAGAACACTTTGTTGAGAGTTGGCTTGAGGTTCCAGTGATGATGGAATAAATCCATAAAATAAGGACTTTTAATCTCTAAAAAATGCATAAGCCACGATTTAATTCCCCACCTTCATGCATCAAACTTGTTCCACTTAAAGTGAAATCCACAGTTGCATGACGATGACACTCTACCATTCCACAAAGTAGTCAACTGACCCTATCTCTATCAATTAATGACGACGGCTAAAAAACAGTAAATTACTGTTAATCCATTGCCCACTCTCTTCGCACTATGCTCCAAAAAAAAGACGGTCAGCTCTCATTTAGCACACACCAAAACTAAACACACTCACCGCGTACGTTGTCACTCCGGTTCCCTCCAGCCGTTTGGCCAACTCCCGCGTAAAGAGCACATTGGCCAACTTGCTCTGGCAGTACGCGCTAACCTGATTGTACGACTGTTCGCTATTCAAATCACGTCTGTTAATCGTTCCGTACCGATGCGCCAGGCTCGATAGATTCACAACCCTCGACGGGGCCGACGCCTTCAGTCGGTCCAGCAGCAAATTCGTCAGCAGAAAGTGCCCCAAATGATTGACTCCCAGCTGCTGCTCAAACCCATCCTTGGTCAGAGCCTTCGGACAGGCCATCACTCCGGCGTTGTTGATCAGAATGTCCAACCGTTGTTCCTCTGCCAGGAATCCCTTGGCAAACGTCCTCACTGACTCCAACGAGGAAAGATCCAACTGCCGCACGTGAATGTCGGTCTTCCCCGTTTCGGCCATCAGTTCCTCCCGGGCCTGGTTCGCCTTGTCCAGCGAACGGCAAGCGATGTACACTTTTCCACCACGCTTCAGCAGCTCCTTGGCGGTTTCCTTGCCGATCCCCGTGTTGGCACCGGTAATCACAATCACCTTAGCATCGCAACGTGTTTGTTTCCGAAACTGGCCTCCCTCGATGAATAATCTGCAATTACCAAGTATCGAGATTAATGACCTTGAACGAGATGCGCAGAGTAGGCACCAGGGACTACCTTAGCAACTTGAAACCGATGAAAGCGATCGCCGAGAACACTACGATGTGGATCAAGGGAATCATATTTCCCAGCTCAGCTCAGATTATGGTTCGTTTGCGGTGAATTATTCGTCGATAGGAGGAGCAGCGGAAAACCTGACTCGAAGCCGACGAAGCGCTGTGCAATACTAACCGACCTGGTGGGCTTCTTCCCTTCGTTCGTTGGTGCAGTCCGCGGTTTGGAATGTCGAAAAGTGAGTATTTTTATATATTCAAACCCTGCAGATGCAGCGAAGACTTTGGACGAATACTAACGAATGAATGAACGGACGGCGTAGCTGATGGAAACTGGTTGTAGAATTGTTTACTGAGCTTACATATTTCGTCAGACAGCGAAGATAAGATCATGGGCATTAGGGTGAGTCGACCTGTTCCCAACTGGTCATTTCGATTCCAAACTTTAATCATCAGCAGTCTTCTACAAAGTTGTTCTGCATTGTTTGCAACAACACTGAGTAATGTGGAACTTTTATCAAGCAAATTGATATTGTAATTCGTCTCCTACATATTTTCCTAAATTCTCCCGCAAATCCAGATCAAAAACAAATTCGTTCAAATTTGGAGCTGGTGGCTGGAGCTAAATACAAAGCGAAAAAGCATTGGTACCGCGCGAATGTTTAGTTTACCCACCCTAATGGGCATGTTTGTAGACAGCTTAGCGTTCGTTCTGGGGCAATAACAGATGCGAATAAATGATTCGGTTTGTGTTTTATTTTTTTCATTTAAACATAGGTATGTGTAATATGAGAATTTTGTAAATACAATGAGGCAAATTTTTCGATGTGTTGATGTTATGAAGACTGATTACGATATTATTGTTATTGTTTAAAATTCGGTTATCAATACCTTTATCAAACTCGAGATAACTTTCTTAATCTCTCAGCAGCCACCCTAATGCACTCAAACACAAGGCCTAATAAAAACCGAAAATAAAAGTATTCGAAACTGAATTTTAACCGATCCGGTTGATGATTTTGCTCCACTGACATCTGATCCTCTTCCAGTAACGAAAAAAAAACATCAATAATAGAAAGTTTTTACATGTGCACCCGAAAAAAAAAAACAGTAAAAATACATTAAAAATTATTGTAACAGTACCTTAATTAACAATGATTTTACAGCGATTTTTGCTGTGCAAATTTCTATATTTCCACAATAAAAAATATGCTTGAAAACATTAAATAACATGGTTTTAGCGTTTTTTACAGAAAAAAAGGGGGGTCGTTAAGTATCTTAACAATAAATTTCCGACGTTTTCCCCATACATTTTGGATTGAGTTACATTATTTTTTATTGTAAAATTACTTTCCAAAATGCATACTAGATACATTAAGAATTATGGTTAAATCGTTGTTTTACGAAAAGATGTTTTTTATTGTTGAGTAGTTGTAATACATAGTATTTCTTATTTCTCTTTTTAATGAAATAAAACAGATTTATTGTATTTTCCATGAGAATTAGACTCTTTATTGGTTCTGACTGTTTGAAGTTTAAAAAATACAGCTGGTATTCAAAAACAAACGAATAAATGAAATAATAGAAGGACAAGTTAAAACATGACCATTACATGGTTTTAAATGAGAATTGACTTCAATAAACAAACAAACAACTTGAATTCATGTGAAATAATAATAAAAATATGACGGTACCAGAAGCTAAAATCAAGATTGACTTCATTATCAATTGTTATATTGACATGCAGGTTTAAAAAACCTGTTTAAAATACTGAATTGTCAAGACAGGAACAATGTAAAAACACTTAGATATATATCATAACAATTAAGGCTGGTAAGTTACTGTAGTAACTGGAGCACCTAGGTTAAAAATGAAATGTAATTTATTTTGAATTTAGAATAAATAAAGAGTTAAAAAAAAAAAAAAGATTGACTTCATTATGTACGGTTCTGACTGGTGGGCACAACAGAAGCGTTTCGAAGAGAAGCATGTCTACGCGCCTTGTTTATATTAGCGATTTTTTCTGCGAGTGCTCGATTTATAGTTGACTTGTCAGCAAGTACAGCAATTTGTTCGAGGTTTCGATTTCCTACTTGGAGCGCGACCCGCTCACGTGCTGCGTCTGAAAAAATAATGTTAGATAGCAGAGTTATTATTGATATACTTCGAACAAAGCATTATTTTCTAAAACTCACTGTAAATAAAATTAAGTTTTAAGGGTGAAATCGCTGGTTTTGACTGATAATCGTTCTGTGCTCCTTTATAATTCCTCCCAGTGACGGACCTGTTACTCAATTCATCAGCTCCGTAAAAATGCATAGCCAGGTTTTGTGAAAATGCCGCAACACTCTTCGATATGGAGTTGATATGCTCAATATCAGCAGTGGTAGTGTTCAAATTTTCATCCGGAGTAAATGTCTAAAATATCATAGAAAATATTCAAAAATAAAGTTACATATAGGAATCACGAGAATCATGCATCATAACAAAAAATTAATTGCCTTAAAACATGTTTAAGGAAAATTCTATTAAGATAGACTTTTAACATGTGTTATTCACCAATCCTGCCTGTGATTGGCCGCCGAACAAATAACAAATTCATGACGTACTAAGGTTGTGTTCCATTTGGTGAATTTTCACTTAAATTTGACGCACCGAAAATAAATTATAATGTTCAAACATCCCTCTGTTGTTAATCTTCCGATTTTCGAAAAAATGTTTGTTAAAATTGATAACTTGTCTGTCAGAAATAAGTCTCGTACAATAGCAGGTTTATTTGAAAATTTTCCATCTGTCAAACTTAAGTGAAAATTCACCAATTGGAACACAGCCTATGGATCGAATAAATCTCGCTTTCAAAATCATTAAGGCCTAACTGCGCTGATCGATCGCTGTTGATGATCGAAAATACTCACGAATTTAGCATTAGGATCTTCCTTTGCCGCTTTTGCTTCCGAGACCGCATGCACAACTAAATCCTTAAGCTGAGCAATGTCGATATCCTTCGCGTCAATTTTCTTTTTGTACTTCTTCAGCGTCTCTGCCTGCTTACTGCACCGGTTCTGTAGGCGTACGTTCGATTGGTCTGCATCAGTCTCGGAATCAGAACCAACTGGGACCTCCGAATTCGGTACCTGGGCGCCAATTTCAACGTTTACTACAGCAACTTCCAACGCGTTGTCAGTATGAATATTGTCTGGTGGATGTACTTGTTTGGGAGATTCCTGGGTATCATTCATCACATTGTCCGTAGTGATGTCCAACAGGTTGTCGGGTTGCTCGGTGTTATTTTCCGTTGGATTTTCCAGTGGCCTTTCGGTTTCAACATCAACAGCGATGTTAGCAGTTCCATTGACTTTCTGATAGACGATCGGTTGTCCACTGGATACAGCGGTTGTAATAACACCGAGAGCAGAGCTCGTTGCTGACATTTCTAAAGGATTGTTGAACGATTCATCCAATTCTCTGACCGAACCCTGCAAAGCAACATCGACAAACTCATGGCCACTCTGGCTGTAGTTTGAAAACATCATTTTGGGTTAGAACGGTTGATAACTGAAATAAAAAAAAAATACACAATTAACAGGCCTGGGTTGTCACTGGATTTGAAAAATCTATTTCTGGGTCCCATAACGATTCATATATATATCGATAAAGAGCTGAAATTTGCCTTTGATAATGGTTGTATGTTCTTACCATGGATTGCAAATAGCTGTGGTTCTCTACGGTTGCTTTTTTAAGGTCGGTTTGCTTCTGACTGGTGGCCCGCTTACGTTTGTTCGAAGTCGCTTTTTAATAAACATAGGCATTATTTTTTGTATGTACAACAATATTATGCTTTAATTTTAACTTACCAGCGTTTCAATTTTCATATCGTTTGGTTTTGTTTCGTAGTTTCGGAGGCATTTAAAAAAATGGAGCACACTTTAGAGCGCACTTTGCACTGCGCAACAAAATTTTAAAATGGCGGCTTGTGAAACAAAAGAAAAATCTCTTTAGACCGACACAATGCCATTTAAACCAGGTCCGGTAATGTGACTTTGTACTATGTTATTATGCTGTGTGACGTCATACTCCTTGCTGCATTAGAACCACGTCAGATATTGACAGAGGCGGAAAGTGAACATTACAGGGCTTGTAATTTATTACATTTCCGACAGTTCAAATTGTCAATGGATGTGGTATCTTATCAGAATTAATTCAACAAGAATGCTTTGATGAAACCTCTGCTATGATTCTAACTAAAGAAGCTGAATTTATAAAGAGACGACACGTCAAAATTGGAACAATCGATTATCAGTCAAAGTCATAGGAAAAGCAGAGGACCTGTCAAATGTATAAGATGTCGCCTCTTTACCCAATTCAGTCTCTTTAATTCTAACCAGTAAATATGACGTCACAATCTCTGCTGCATAAGCACAAGCTCACTTTGCCAGACCTGTGGTTTATCACTTGGATAGAACTCAATCTGTCTGAAATGTCAAACATATTTGTGATAAACATTGCGTAAACGAAGTTTTATTGAAAAAAAATGAGAAATTCTCGAATGAATAAATTGTTTTTCAAAAACAAGTCGACTACATATGCTCGTCGTTCTTATGTAAGTATAATTAAAGTTAAATACCTTCACTGCAAAAAACCGCTTTTATATTATTTTTCAATTTAGGTACACAAACGAATTCGTAAGGTGGTTGTTACTCGGAGAACTGAAACATTGGCTGAAATGCATCCGGAAGCTCAACCCGAGGCTCTTCTTGAGCCGGTAAAGGATACTAGTGATTCTGGTCAAGCCAGTCAAACCCGCATTTTGCCGGTGGTTCAAATTGGATCGAAATGGCAGGTGTGTAAAAAATATGTCTATCTGTGACTCATTAGTTTAATTGTGAGTTTGCGCTAATGAACAAAAATATTAATTATGCCTATAATGTTCTTCTACGACTGTATTCTTATTTTTTTTTTTTAAATAGGTTCCTGTACCGACTTTGGCAGCACTCGAGGGAAATGATATGCATAAACCGATCCCTGCTTCTAGTGCAGACGTATTTCAGCCTAACTATCAATCCATCGAGATCAAGCCTCACCTACAGGTAAGTATCGAATTTCGTTCATATTGTCATCAAGTCATTCACATGTTTCTATTTGCATAAGGCCCCTGCCGGTGTCGTTTCAGAAAACTTGCCTATTAGTCTTCCTGAAGGTGAAGATTCAGGCCAAGATGCTCAACAAAATATATC